TTCCTTCACCATCCAACTCTCACATCCATACATGACTACTGTAAAAACCATAGCCTTGACTAGATGGACCTTTGTTGGCAAAGTGATGTCTCTGCTTTTAAATATGCTATCCAGGTTGGTCATAACTTTCCTTCCAAGGAGTAAGCGTCTTTTAATTTCATGGCTGCAGTCACCATCTGCAGTGGTTTTGTAGCCCAAAAAAATAAAGTCTGACACTGTTTCTACTGTTTCCCCATCTATTTCCCATGAAGTTATGGGACCAGATGCCATGATCTTATTAGTTTTCTGAATGTTGAGCTTTAAGCCAACTTTTTCACTCTCCTCTTTCACTTTCTTCAAGAGGCTTTTTAGTTCCTCTTCACTTTGTGCCATAAGGGTGGTGCAAATCTGAGGTTATTGATATTTATCCTATCAGTCTTGATTCCACCATAGTTTGGCCCCAGGTAAATAGCAGGGAGGGAACACAGCTCCACCCACCAACAGAAAATTGGATTAAAGATTTACATGGCCCCGCCCATCAGAACAAGACCAAGTATCCCCCCTCAGTCAGTCTCTCCCATCAGGAAGCTTTCATAAGCCTCCTATCCTTCTCTTGTGGTCCTCTTGTGGCTCAGAGGGTAAGGAGTCTGCCTGCAATGCAGGATACCCGGGTTTGATCCCTGAGTTGGGACAATCCTCTGGAGAAGGAAATGGCAACCCACTCCAGTCCTCTTGCCTGGAAAATCCCACAGATGGAGGAACCTAGCAGGTACAGTCCATGGGGTCGCAAAGAGTTGGACATGACTGAGAGACTTCACTTAATCCTTCTCCATCAGAAGGCAGACAGACTGAAAACCATCATCACAGAAAACTAACCAATTTAAGCACATGGACCACAGCCTTGTCTAACTCAGTTAAACAATGAGCCATGCCGTGTAGGGCCACCCAAGACGGACGGGTCATGGTGGAGAGTTCTGACAAAATGTGGTCCACTGGAGAAGGGAATGGCAAACCACTTTAGTATTCCTGCCTTGAGAACCCCATGAATAGTATGAAAAGGCAAAAAGATAGGACACTGAAAGATGAACTCCCCAGGTCAGTAGGTGGCCAATATACTACTGGAGAACAGTGGCAAAATAACTCCAGAAAGAATGAAGAGATGGAGCTAAAGCAAAAAAAAGCACCCAGTTGTGGATGTGACTGGTGATGGTAGCAAGGTCCGATGCTGTAAAGAGCAATGTAGCATAGGGACCTGGAATGTTAGGTCCATGAATCAAGGCAAACTGGAAGTGGTCAAACAGGAGATGGCAAGAGTGAACATTGACATTTTAGGAATCAGAGTACTAAAATGGACAGGAATGGGTGAACTGAACTCAGATGACCATTATATCTACTACTGTGGGCAAGAATCCCTTAGAAGAAATGGAGTAGCCATCATAATCAACAAGAGTCTGAAATGCAGTACTTGGATGCAGTCTCAAAAAGACAGAATGATCTGTTTGTCTCCAAGGCAAACCATTCAATATCACAGTAATCCAAGTCTATGCCCCAACCAGTAACAATGAAGCTGAACGGTTCTATGAAGACCTACAAGACCTTCTAGAATTGACACCCCAAAAATATGTCCTTTTCATTATAGGGGACTGGAATGCAAAAGTAGGAAGTTAAGAAATACCTGGAGTAACAGGCAAATTTGGCCCTCTTCCAACAACACAAGAGAAGACTCTACACATGGACATCACCAGATGGTCAACACTGAAATCAGATTAATTATAGTCTTTGCAGCCAAAGATGGAGAAGCTCTATACAGTCAGCAAAAACAAGACCAGGAGCTGACTGTGGCTCAGATCATGAACTCCTTATTGCCAAATTCAGACTTAAATTGAAGAAAGTAGGGAAAACCACTAGACCATTCAGGTATGACCTAAATCAAATCCCTTATGATTATACAGTGGAAGTGAGAAATAGATTTAAGGGACTAGATCTGATAGACAGAGTGCCTGATGAACTATGGACGGAGGTTCGTGACATTGTACAGGAGACAGGGATCAAGACCATCCCCATGGAAAAGAAATGCAAAAAGGCAAAATGGTTGTCTGAGGAGGCCTTACAAATAGCTGTGAAAAGAAGAGAAGCGAAAAGCAAAGGAGAAAAGGAAAGATATTCCCATTTGAATGCAGAGTTCCAAAGAATAGCAAGGAGAGATAAGAAAGCCTTCCTCAGTGATCAATGCAAAGAAATAGAGGAAAACAACAGAATGGGAAAGACTAGAGATCTCTTCAAGAAAATTAGAGATACCAAGGGAACATTTCATGCAAAGATGGGCTCAATAAAGGACAGAAATGGTATGGACCTAACAGAAGCAGAAGATATTAAGAAGAGGTGGCAAGAATACACAGAAGAACTGTACAAAAAAGATCTTCATGACCCAGATAATCACAATGGTGTGATCACTCACCTAGAGCCAGACATCCTGGAATGTGAAGTCAAGTGGGCCTTAGAAAGCATCACTACAAACAAAGCTAGTGGAGGTGATGGAATTCCAGTTGAGCTATTTCAAATCCTAAAAGATGATGCTGTGAAAGTGCTGCACTCAGTATGACAGCAAATTTGGAAAACTCAGTGGCCACAGGACTGGAAAAGGTCAGTTTTCATTCCAATGCCAAAGAATGCTCAAACTACCGCAAGACTGCACTTGTCTCACATGCTAGAAAGTAATGCTCAAAATTCTCCAAGCCAGGCTTCAGCAGTATGTGAACCTTGAAAATTCCAGATGTTCAAGCTGGTTTTAGAAAAGGCAGAGGAATCAGAGATCAAATTGCCAACATCTGCTGGACATTGAAAAACCAAGAGAGTTTCAGAAAAACATCTATTTCTTCTTTATTGACTATGCCAAAGCCTTTGACTTTGTGGATCACAGTAAACTGTGGAAAATTCTGAAAGAGATGGGAATACCAGACCACCTGACCTGCCTCTTGAGAAACCTACATGCAGATCAGGAAGCACCAGTTAGAACTGGACATGGAACAACAGACTGGTTCCAAATAGGAAAAGAAGTACATCAAGGCTGTATATTGTCACCGTGCTTTTTAACTTATATGCAGAGAAATATCAATAACCTCAGATATGCAGATGACACTGCCATTATGACAGAAAGTGAAGAACTACAGAGCCTCTTGATTAAAGTGAAAGAGGAGAGTGAAAAAGTTGGCTTAAAGCTGAACATTCAGAAAGTTAAGATCATGGCATATGGTCCCATCACTTCATGGCAAATAGATGGAGAAACAGTGGAAAGAGTGGCTGACTTTTTTTGGGCTCCAGAATCACTGCAGGTGGTGACTGCAGCCATGAAATTAAAAGATGCTTACTCCTTGGAAGATAAGTTATGACCAACCTAGAGCATATTAAAAAGCAGAGACATTCCTTTGCCAACAAAGGTCCATCTAGTCAAGGCTATGGTTTTTCTAGTAGTCATGTATGGATGTGAGAGTTGGACTATAAAGAAAGCTGAGCGCCGAAGATTTGATGCTTTTGAACTGTGGTGTTGGAGAAGACTCTTGAGAGTCCCTTGGACTGCAGGGAGATCCAACCAGTCCAAGGAGATCAATCCTGGGTATTCATTGGAAGGACTGATGCTGAAGCTGAAACTCCAGTACTTTGGCCACCTGATGCAAAGAACTGACTCATTGGAAAAGACCCTGATGCTGGGCAAGATTGAAGGCGAGAGGAGAAGGGGACGACAGAAGATGAGATGGTTGGGTGGCATCACTGATTTAATGGACAAGAGTTTGAGTCAACTCCGGGAGTTGGTGATGGAAGGAGGCCTGGCGTGCTACAGTCCATGGGGTCGCAAAGAGTCAGGCACGACTGAGCGACTGAACTGAACAGGCTGTGACATGGAACACCTTAAAGCTCCGTAAGCAGAATTCTCTAACTGTTCCATTCTATCTACAAACCATCTCATGGAAAATCACCAAAGTTTTCTTTTAATGAGTTTCAAGTGAATAATATGGAATGGTTACACTTGCAGATCTGTGCTGTCTAGTAACATGTTTGAGGGCTAATTGTAAGGGAAAAATAAGACAATACAGCTATTACATCCTTTTAAAATAAGTAACAGAGACATATATAGTTCTAATTGGAAGCCAAGAGCTCTCTCGAACAATAATGTTGAATCAGAAAACTTAGGTGCTCATGGGTGTATTGTGGATTACCTGACAGATCCAGAACCTATTGACTGTGTCTCTCTGATTCTTTTTGCCTTTTTATACTTTTATACTATTTATGGGGTTCTTGCAGCAAGGATACTGGAGTGGTTTGCTGTGCTGCAGTCTGTGGGGTTGCAAAGTGTCAGACTCGAGTTAGCAACTGAACAAGAACTCTGATTCCACTAGCAAACCCCTTCGTACACTCTCCCTTACAAACCACGTCTTAAGCAGCTGGGGTTGTTCGGATGTGTGATAGTTTCTGACTTCAACCTACAGAAGAAAGTCCGGTCTCAAGCATAGCAGTTTAGGAAATAAATTGAAGAACACAACGTTCCTCCCAGAGCATGTCTAGAAATCCCAGCGCATCCCCCGGCAGGCAGTCCTTATTGCAGAACACATGAAGGCCTGTGGACTCTGCAAGGGGAGTCTTGGTGCTTAAGTTGAAAAAATTTACATTTAAGCCCCAACTGTGTATCATCTACATTTTGATTATAAATATCACTTTAATTATAAAAATACAGACTGTGAATTAGTTGGTTATGTGGAAGATTAAAGATCAAACTGTAAAAACTGACATGCTCAAGAACATATTTATATAGCTTATTACTGGAAACTAAAGTTATATCCTCACATATACGGAATCATTTCTTCTCAGATTTTATTTTAACTTGAAAGAAAATACATCTTAAAACTTATCTGGATACAAATCACATTCTATTCTATACAATGGGGTATTGTAGTAATTACATGCAAAACATTTCAAGACTCTAAATCATTATCCTTTAAATATTTGCATGAAAAGTGACAAAATTCTTACTAGATGAATTGGAAGCATTTATTTACAACATAAACTTTTAATAAAACAGAACAAGAAGTAAAATGTAGACTGTTACATATTTTTAAACTTTTTTAGATCACCAGTCTCTCTGACAAGTTGATGAAAACTAATGAAATTTTTTGCCTGGAAAATGCACATACCTATCTAGAGACTGGGTATTCATGCAACATGAGGTAATATTACTATAGTAACTATTTTTTAAGAAGATAATCCATTTTACATCTCACAAGAAAATATCATTATGTAACAAAAGAAATTTTTAAAATATTTATTAAATAAAACAAATATTGCAAACAGCATAATAGGTAACTGTATGAATTTTTAAAAGCTGAGATAATGAACTTTGACATTTGAGACTGAAAATAAACCCAGTGATGCTGTAGACAATCATGATACAGTCTGTTAGCATAGGTCATAAAGCAATCTTAAAGTTATTTGGCTTTAAGAAACTGACAGGAAAATACTCCTAAAATTACCCATTAGATTCCTGTCACATCCGATTACAGTAGTAGGAGTTGGGCTTTTTAGACATCCATGGGAAATACACCAAGACAAAACATGGTGAAAGGAAAAAAGAAGAACAAATTAGGAAATGCCAGCTAGCTGAGGTTAAAAAGTTAGCGTTTACTTCTGTAAACATTTTTATTTAAGAAATATTTCTTTTATTTTTCTTTGAATTTTCCCTCCTGTATGTCTCACAAGGAAGGTGTGGAATGCTTTGTTTATAAAATTTGAAGTGGTCTGGTATGCTTAAAAATGAAGAGCATTCTAAAGTGTCCTTTGTAGTTATCATGTTGAAACTTCTTTTTATTGTGCTATTTATAGTTTCAGGGTTTTCCTGGTAGCTCAGCTGTTAAAAGAATCTGCCTGCAGTGTAGGAGACCCCAGTTCGATCCCTGGGTTGGGAAGATTCCCTGGAGAAGGATTAGGCTTATGTAACCACCATTAAAATTCAACTGCAAAAGTTATTTAAAATTCAAGTTTAAAAGTCTTTTTAACTTATGTACAAAAGCAAAAACTGGAAGAACATGACCAAAATTTAACAAAATAATCAACACAGTAACATTCAGTACATTCAATTACTCTTTCTCAAACCATTGCTGCTGCCCTTTCTCAAAATAATCTCCACAGCAAACAACAAAAGCTCCTTTCAGAAAAACTAATTCAACTATAAAGTTGAATTTTTAAAATTGACCCTTATTGATGTTCAGATTAAACAGCTGGTTTTAAATTTAAGAGTAAATATTCTTTACTAACAAGAATAAAATTGCTTTAGTAATAAAAAGTTTTTGCCACATAAAATTCTGTGATTACAAAAATAAAAACATATAAGTATTTACTAAAACACTCAAAAACATTTTAGTATTTATTCATCTTTATCAAACATTTTATGAAAATTTGCTTTAAATTATACTCCATTGAATTAATATTTATATTCTTTGAAAGATACATTTAATAAACATTACTTATAAAGAAAGCTAATAAGTAAAATTAAATTAATATAAATCTGCTATAGTAGTACCACTTTATATTAGGTTTTTAAAATTAAGATTGTAAAAACCTATGGGCAGCCCTAGTTTTTACAATTCATGTTATGACAGTTCATAATTACAAAATGAAGTGTTCATATGTTTATTCTGCTTGAAAAGGTACCTGTTCCTAGTATTATGAGCCTGAATTAATGGATTAGCAGTCAACCAAATACCTGCAATACTTAATCATGGATTTTATTGAAACATGTTTTAGGCATAAGTTTTAAAAATAAAGTTATGAAACTTTTCACTGAAAGTTCAATGTCAGAATGATCATATATAGAGCCCAAAGTCAGTATGAACCATAAAGAATTTCTTCATTGTCTTCTATTGCTAAAAACAGTACTTACATTGAATGAAATGCTTCACAGGAAAAGACTGCTAGAATGAAAATACTAGATATATTTCATAAATTTCTACCAGGAAATACAGAAACAAATGCATAGAAGGCAAACAAAACACCCTCCAATCTTGAATTTGGCTTTTATTTTAAAATACATTTAGCATGGAACTACCATAGGACAGAAAATAATAAATCACAAAGAAATGGAATATTTTCAAATACTTTTAAGCAGATATAAAAATTAATAAGATAGCAGAGACCCAAATTATAGGAAATAGTCCCTAAAATTCAATTCAGTAAACACATTTTGAAAGAAAAGTTCTTTGCACATTTTCCAACGTACCAGTATGTTCCTAAGTGCCTTGGTTTTCTGTTAACTAATAAGTAAAGGCTGTAAATTGAGTTACTTTACTTACAATTATCAGATGCACTATTGTCAAAAATTACCATGTCTTTAAATTCTCAGAGTTATAAAAATATGAGCTCAAATAGTTATGTTGCCCAAAATAGAAACATCTTAAGTTGATATCTCTGGATAATCAGACAGATATTGCACTAAGTCAGTAATTCCATACCCAATGCTCATTTACATGGAAAGTTAATTCTCTTCTTTATGAAAAACTTAATACAAATAAATTTAATGTTAACCTAATTACAATTACACTTCAAAATATAAAGGCACGGACAGAATAAAGAATAGTTTAATATTTATACTCAAATTTTCCACTGTGAAAATAATAAAAGGTTGAAAAAAATAAGATCTAAAATTCTGATACTTTTAAATTTTATAATTTACCATTAAGTAGCTACTAAATGGGTATTAAAAGTTAACACTGCTAAATCCAATCCCTTCCAAATAATTTAGAAAAGTGGTTTATTTATATATGAAACATGTGCATTGTCCCATCTATAAAGTTCAAGTACATTTCCATTCATTGGAATTATCTACCTGTAGTATAAACGATCAAGACAATGTACAAAAAATATATCTTGTTCCTGTAACTTACAATGCACAGAAAAATACCTATAAAAATGGAGATATTTATTCATTTAGGTTCTCAATAAACTAGTGAGAAAATTTAGCCCATTCCACGTTTCTTTCTAAACAAAGGCTAAAGAATTGAAGGTGGTTTACTTCTAGCCCTGTTTGCTTGATAGATATTTTTTAAAATATTTGTCTGATTATATGTAACTTAAGATAAAGTTAGTCTTATTTTTATATCACAGTATACATGGCATTTCTTAGTTCAGCAACAGAAAGGCACAATTAGCAAGCAATAAAATTCAGTACCTGACTTATTAAACTAATGTCCAGAACAACTGCAAATAAAATACATTCAACACAGTGCACAGAACTGGAAAACAAAACAAACAAAAAAAGGAATTCAAAAACTAACTTTTTGGAAAATTTGGTCCATTAAAAATGCCTCCTATGTTCAACATCATGGATAACATGAAAGATGATGGCAGTGTAAAAAGAGGCAGTAAATTAATATGTGGTAGCATATGAATTCTGGTCTAGTAATTACACAATTGATTAGGAAATGGTTCCCATTGTAAATAAAAATTAAATATATCAGTTAATAACATACCTGTATTAAGTCCAAATACACAGGCACAACTGTTTGCATATTATTATTGATTTTATAATACACCCCCGTGGTTCAAAAAAACTTAGGTATATTATTTTATATATAATATATATTAGATACATAATTTTATATTATGTTCCTTAATATATATTATATAACTTGAATCTGTAACAGCACAGAACTCTCCAAATATTACATGAACATTCCAAATGGTATTTATCATTTTCTCAATGTTGTAATAGCTCAGCTCACCTAAAACAATAACTGGATGTGCAGTGATAAAATGCACCGACTCTTAAGAATTTACTTAAATAATTATTTAAGTTAAATTCCTGCAAAAGCCTAACTCTGATTTGGCTTTTAACTAGAATATGGTTTTTAGATATCAGTAACTGATACCCTCCTTTCTTATCATAAACAGTATTTCACCATCAAGAGATACCAATAAAGAAAAATATGTAAGGAACCAAAAATGTGATAGAGAAACCAACCATTCCATAAGTAATATACCGATAAGGAAGTTCAACTTCCATGTGCTGCCTTGCTTTTCGAATATCATCACAAGGTATATTGAAGATTTTACAGGCTAAAGGAATAGTGATCCTTTTCATTATATCTCTGACCACTAGTACAAATAACATCCCTATGAATATCCGCAATATGGCTTTTCCAAACAGAGTCACTGAAATGGGGTGCCTAGCTAAAGGTAATATATCCAGAGGAGGATCTAATAGTAGACCCATTTTATAGGTAAAATGAGATCCACATGCAATCCCTGCACCACTTCCCAGAATCTCAGCTGTGTCTCCCCGAGATGTACTCCAGGTGTCAAGAGTGAAAGAAAAGATCCCCAAGGCTAAATGAAGCCCGATGATGATTAATGGAGCATATCTGTGAGTTTGGTTGAAGTTGTCAATCAGGTCCACAAATGGATAGAAGATAACCAAGATTAAAATGGTATATAGGAATCCAGCAATAACATCCTGAGAAAAGAAAAAAAGCACAGTTGTTTAGTATAATATTTTTGTTTGGCATTTAAAGAATAGTATATATTTCACACTTCAAATGTTAACATACATTTTAAAATGTCACATTATTAAACTTTATATAATATATAGTAGGTACGAAAACCATTACACTAAAAAGATTTATTGATAATAATAAAATGATTATGTTTTTATAGTTCTGCCCTTTTATAAGTTAATATAGATATGCTATACACAAATTTTATATTCAAATCCTGAACAATAAACTAGCTTAAAGTATGCAGTTATGATTTCTGAGAAAAGCAATATACAGCTGACCCTTGAACAACCTGGATTTGAACTGTGTGGATCCGCTGAGCTGATTCTTTGCAGTAGTAAAGAGCAGTACAGTGCTACATGATCCCTGGTTGGTTAATCTGAGGATGCAGAAGCTCTGATAGAAGAAACTGTGGACATGAAGGAACCAAGTGTATGAAGGGCACACTATAATTATTGGTGGATTTTTCACTACACTGACCTCTAAGTTGTTCAAGGATCAACCAGGCTTATTCTAAGACTTCATCTTCATGTATTTAATATAATAATTACACATCTAAACACATAATTATTTCCATGACTAAAGAGGATACAAAGCCTATTTTTTCTTAATTCACTAACCAAATACTTATTGAGTACCTACATGTGCCTGACACTATTTTAGGGGCTAAGGATATATTGCTTAAAAACTGAGAAGATACCTACTGCCTATAGAGCTTACATTTTAGTGGGGATGACTGACAATAACCATGTAAGTAAAAAGTAGATAAATATTACCATTTCCGGTTGTTATAAAGCAACTAAAATAAGACAATGGGATAGGCCCAATTAAGAGTAATTAGGGAAATCTGTCTGAGGAGGTGACACTTGAGTAGAGATCTGATCCCAAAAAAAGAGTCAGCCCTATCTTTAGCCCTAAGGAAAAGTGTCCAGGTCGAAGAAATAACCAAGTACCAAGGTATTGAGGCAGAATAGAACTTAGTGAGTTCAAGGAACTGAGAAATCCAGTGTGCCTCAAACAGTAAGAAAGAGAGATGTGACATGAGATCCAAGAGACAGACAGAGGTCCCCTTGTAGGTTAGGTAAGAACTTCACATTTTATTTCAAAAGCGACAGGAGGCCTGAAAGAAAGATCCCCAAGTAGGAGTGTAATAAAATCTGATTGATGTTTATAAAAGAAAACACTCCATCCACTGTGTAGAGAATAGATTATAGGGGTAAAGTATGGAAGACAGGAGACCACTAGAGACACAAGTGAGAGGCTACTACAGTGACTCACTCTAGACGTGGTCCATATAAAGAGACATACATAGATGGATTTAGTAAAATATCTTAAAATTAGAGTTGACTAACTTCAACTTACTGATGATCTGAATGTGAAAGAGAAGCAAAGGGGATCAAAAATGACATCTAGTTTTATGTATGACAGAAGATGGTATATTGGAGGAAATAAAGCTGTTATTAAAAGAATCTTCCTTTCCAAGTCATTCCTAACATGAACAAAACTATTCTGAAAATTTCACCTTAAAAAAAACAAAACCAAACCCTGGGATTAACTATCACTGAAAAATTTATCCAAAAATCGCACACATTCACTGTCTCCACTTCTTCACTTCCTTATTTTTTCCTAAACTCATCACTGTATTGAAACCATTCTTTTCATAGATACTAGTGACCTTTATGCTGCCAAAAACAATGGTTACTTCTCAATAGCATTCAATACAGTTAAGCAACAGAGTAGTGGCTTAATGTTTTTCTGTCCTAAGATTTTTTATTATTGTTATAATGTAACATTTGGTACATAGAAATCAAATACATAGAGTGTACCTGAAATTATAAGAAGTATTTTGAATCTATTGGCATGCTGGTTAATAGTTCTATCACTCTGCATAAACCTGAGTACTGACTGAACAGATACCTGCTCTGAGTAGGACTGACGTATACACATTACCATGTAAACAGATACCTGCTCTGAGCAGGACTGACGTATACACATTACCATGTAAACAGATACCTGCTCTGAGCAGGACTGATGTATACACATTACCACGTGCAGGACAGACAGCTCGTGGGAGGCTGCCGTGGAGCACAGCAAGCTCAGCTCAGCGCCCTGCGATGACTTACGAGCACTGGGCTGGTGGGTGGGGTGGGAAGGAGCTCAAGAGGCGGGGATCTATGTGCACTTACAGCTGATTTACTTTGCTGTACCGCAGAAACTAACACACATTGTAAAACAGCGTAAAACAATTACACCCCAGTTAAAAATATAAATAAAAACTGTTTTATCACCTATCTCCAAACAAAACATTACCAAGTGTTGCTTCTTTCTGAGCTTTATAAAAATGTTAGGCAATATGTAGTCTCCTCTGATTTGCTTTTCACACTTAACATTAAGCTCTTAAGATTCATTCATCACATGTAGTTTACAGGTCATTCACTTTCCCAAGTATGTAATATTTTGTGTGATTATATAATGTATTTATCTATTTTTCCCACTGATAGTCACTTAGGTTGTTTTCCAGGTTTTGGATTAGTTCATTGGTTAAGGCTGAGCTTGAATGCTTTCTTAATTGGTATATATTCTTAAACCAACCAGGAATTAAAACAATGTTACTATGTTCTTTCTTTTGATGTTCCCTGTATGGGTCTAAAAAAAGTTTCTCCAGGACACGTGCCTAGGAATGGAAAGGTGGAATCAAAGTATATGTGCACGTTCAATTTTATAAGCCAATAAAATAATCTCCAAAATGTTTACAGAAATTCAGGTTCCATCAGTTGGTATTTCTTGATGTTTAATTTGCATTTATGTGATTATTAATTAAGCATTATTTCATAAGTCCATGGGCTGTTCCTTTTATATGCAAGATATATTTGTGTCTTTAGGGCAACTGTTACTTTGGATTTTCTTTTTCTTGTTGATTAACATGATTTCTTTAGATATATATGATAGCAGTTATATTTTTGGAAGTATATTTCAGTGTGACATAAAACATCCAATCTTGCTGTCCTCTACTTTTTTTGTATAGCTCTATGAATATTAAATTTAATTACTATAAGACTCTATACAAATCTGCCTCCTTTTCTAATTATCACTAATTATTTACACTATTACCCTGGATAAAAAGGGCGTATTTAACTTCCATGCTACAGAACCAAAAAGAAGAATGACTGAATTCAGGACATAAACATGGTGGCTGTCATTGTGATATCAATTTAATGTACAACATTAAAATGTGTAACTAAGTGATTTTAAGCGTTACAGCACAAAATATGCGATAAAGAAAAGTTGATGTTAAAGGTAACAAAGAACTCAAAGTAGCAAGTTTTCCAAAAAGAAAGCAAATAACTTTAGATACTCAAATTAATTATAGATAACAAATCTGCTGTAAAAGTTAATAGTTACATATATGAATGGAATATTCACAGTTATCAAATTTATGGTAGAGGATATCAAATACCATAAACTCAATAAAGATTTATTACATATCAAATCTGGAATTGCCTTCTTTTCATTTCTCTGAATCAGTATATAGAACTAGAGAGGCTAGTGATTGGCTGAGATTAGAATTCAAGACTTCTGTCAGCTCCTAGTGTTGTTTTTTTTTAAAATTATAACATATTTCAGGTGTCCTGATTCTAATTCAACATGTCAGTGATGCCAACAGGGTTTCTAACAACAAAATATATTACTGGAATGCATCATTCTTCATTATAAACAACTAGTAAGGATGTATTTTGAAATTTTTATCTTTAAAATTCAAATTTAATACATGTTCAGTATAGAAAAACTAGAAAATGTGGATAAAAAATAACAAGCAGTTTCATCCATCTCATTAGAACTGATTCAAATGAATTCTCAAGCAATTATTACTCAGAGATAACTACCATTAAAACTCTTAGTGTTTACTGTTCTGAATCTTTCTCTAACATGTTTTCAGGACTTTTGCTGTTGTTTGATTAGTTTGATTCTTATACCTTGTTATAAAAATGGGTTATGGAGGTACACGCTACTTGAGGATCTCATAATACTTTTCTAAAAACCTTTCCACATATAGACAAATAAACTTTTAGTACAAGTTTAGGTAAATGTAATTATAAAATATTCATACTTTTACTAATGTGGAAATAAACTAGTAATCTGACAAGCACTTCGTTTGGTAATTTTTAAATGGCTTGTGTTTTAAGACACTTTCAGAGCTAGGTTTGATAGAAAATAAAGGAAAATGGAGGAAGTATTCCTCTACTTTTCTGGAGATTAAGGAAATCTATTTAGGAAAGTGTGTGCATGCTCAGTTGCTCAGTCATGTCCAAGTCTTTCGACCCCATGGACTACAGCCTGCCAGGCTCCTCTGTCCATGGAATTTTCCAGGCAAGAACCCTGGAGTAGGTTGCCACTTCCTTCTCCAGGGGATCTTCCCAGCCCCGGGACTAAGCCCGTATCTTCTGCATTGGCAGGAGGATTCTTTACTACTGCACCATCTGGGAAGCCATTTAGTAAAGTAGGCATTGAAAATAAATTAAGTGTTGCTCTTTGTGTTGTAATAATAAAAACAAAGCATATGGGAAATACTGAATGAAGTGTTTGTTCCTTATAAATTACTTCGACTGCATTACTGGAACTTTCTTCTTAATGTTAATAAAGGTTGTAACACAGGAACATAATTTACAATGCTTGCAAGTCATCTGTGATTTTACTTTTGAAAAAGAAAAACAACTTGTATTAATACACATAATAAAATTGAGTAGCCAGTCAGAATAAAACTGATAAACATATTCTATGGGACAGGATGCTTTTGAATGATTAAATGACTATGGTTGGGGAATTCCCTGGTGATCCAGTGATGAGGACTCCATGCTTTCACTGCCCAGGCCCAGGTTCAGTCCCCGGTCTGGGAACTAAGATCCTGCAACTCATGCAGTATGGCCAAAAGAACAACAACAAAAAAAAAATGACCAGGTTATCAGACTTATAATTTAATAATACATCAATATTGTTTTTACTTCAGTTGATTGAAGAACAGATGTTATCCAGTATCAAAAACATGAACTGAACTCAGTTTGAATAATCAATCCACTATATATTTCCTTTGAACAACAGCATGTTTCAGATTATATATTCAGTATAAGAAGATTCTAATTCCTCTTTTATGATGATAATGAATCTAGGGATAATATTATCATTCTTAGTTCATAATCTTTTCGTAGTTTTTCAGGTGAGATATTGTTAATTGGGAGTGGAAGGGAATAACTGTAATGAGGCACAGAGATGGAAAACATTTTCTTGTGACTAATATTAGATTTGCTATAAAAAGGTGATAACTGGTCTATTATAAAATTAGTACAGACTAGTCAGAAAGATAAAATTATATGTCAATTCATGATTTGCATTAATATAAATAATTATAAAAAATAAAACACAAATAGTTTGCTTCCTAACTTAGCATTTGGGACTTTCGTAAATGATAAAAAATAAAACACAAATAGTTTGCTTCCTAACTTAGCATTTGGGACTTTCGTAAATTTACTAGTGAAGGGGCAGCTGCTGGAGGTAAGTAATTGGAGGAAGAAACAGAAATCCAATATTTTTCAGCTATGAAATGAGATATTTTTATGAGGAGAAAATTCTAAAAGTGTTCATTTGTTAAGGACAAGAAAAAATTTATATAACCCTTTATAAATTTTTGGATTCCATGAATTCATCCCTATCTCTCCATCTTCCTTCTGATTCTTTATCGTTCCAATTTTAGTATATGTGCTGCCGAAGCGAGCACATGATCTATAATATAATATATAATACCTTCACAAAGTGTTCTAAGAGACACCACACTGTACATGAGGGTAGAGTTATTTTTCTCATATTGCTTGTTGTCTAGTGGGGATGACAAAAAAATTAAAAAGCAACTGAAATTCAGCATAAGTGCTATGCCAGAATTATGCTCAAGATGTTCTGGGAGAAAGGCCACCTATCCAGTCTTGAGAAAGGAAAGATGGAGAAGGTAACAAGGCTTTAGGAGATAATATTTTCTGGTGAGTCATGAACAATGGGTTTGATAGTTAGGCAAACAAAGAAACAGAAAACAGCATTCCATGTGGAGGTTACAGCATTGCTAACAATGTGAAGATAAAAAGCACCCTTCACATTTGAGCAAACATAGGCATCATATTTGTGTTTTGAACAGTAAACTACAATAGGAGGCTAAACACTGAATGGAGCAGTGTCACACTTGAAGTGGAGCTACTAATTAAGAAGCTGCTGCAGTACCCTAGTTAGAGATGGTGCAGGCCAGAAGTAGGGAATGTCAATCAGATGGACAGGAAGGGAAGTGAGCAGGTATAGCTGAAAGATAGACTTCCTGTGCCACTGCTTTTGAAACTGAATTGCATTCTCAAAATAAAATATCTCATGTAAGCCCTAAAATACTGTTGGGAAAGAAGAAAACTAGAGTTTAATATTCAAAAACAAGTGGCACCAGGGCAGTTTTTGTTCATCTAATTTCTATTCACTGGGTTTTCACTTACAAGTAGAACTCCTTGGTGTCTGTATTTACATTGTCAGTTTTGACTCAGCAGTAGGAAAGGCATAGAAGAAAATGAAAAAGAAGATAAAAGTGAACCTGGAAGGACAGAGAACTGTTATCCTGAATAATACTTGGTTCCTGTGATTGCTGGGAACTGTTTCTGTGAAATATATATATTATAACTACTTTAAAACTTTGTAAAACATCCTGTTGCTATTTTTGCAAGAAAAAAAGATTTACAATAACTACATTTTCTCACTTAAGCTTCCAGTAAGTTTAAAAATGATTAAATATTATAAAATTGCGTGTTGATTTTAGAAAAAACAAAGCAATATGAACACGTTTTCCTTACCAGAATGGAGTGCATTCCCATGTAAATTCTACTTATGCAAACTAGAGAACACCAGCAGGGAATAAGAATCAGTCCATATGTGAGAGGATACTGAAGGGAAAAAAAAAAGTAAAATTAGTTAGGTAAATCAGGCTAAATATAAACAAGCAGATAAAAACTCAAGGAGAACAAGAAGTATGTGTGTTTACTTTCTGTTATATTTCCAGCACCTAAGCCTACGCATGGCACATAGTGGACATTCAAGAAATACTTTTGCATGAATGAACAAATAAATCTAATGTTTCTACAGTCTTCATTGTGGGAACTGGCTCATTTTTGCTTCTACAGTAAAGACTCAATCACTGGCCTGCTACAGAAGAAAAACAAATAAAAGACATACTTTTACTATAACTACACAATGAAAGTGCCTCTGGAAAAGCACCTGACTCTGGTCCAGCTTAGTGTCATCGCTTCCCTGGGGAGAAGGCGTTATCTCCCTCTCTCTTCCATCAGTGACTGCCGTTTGCCATTTCCCCATCTTCCTTTCAGTGTTAAACACCATGTAATTTTTTGTCCATTAATAATTTCAAATAGCAACTATATTACAAAAAACTTTGGTGGAATATTGGAAGCAGAAAACCATAAAGAGGGAAAAAACTTAAAATGTAGATGACTTTTAGTATCAGTTGGGCTTCCCTCACAGCTCAGTTGGTAAAGAATCTGCCTGCAATGCAGGAGACCCTGGTTCAATTCCTAGGTTGGGAAGATCCCCTGGAGAAGGGATAGGTTACCCACTCCAGTATTCTTGGGCTTCCCTTGTGGCTCAGTTGTTAAAGAATCTGGCTGCAATGTGGGAGACCTGGGTTCGATCCCTGGGTTTGGGAAGATCCCCCAGAGAAGTGGAAAGGGGGATCTTTCCCACTCCAGTATTCTGGCCTGGAGAATTCTAGGGATTGTATAGTCCATGGGGTCACAAAGAGGCGGACACGACTGAGACTTTCACTTTCACTTCAGTACCAATGGCACACCTCTAGTACTAACTAGAGGTGACTTTGAAGCTCCTAATACTAGAGGGAAGAAGGAAATGACTGATGGTTGGGCGTGTCTTAAGTTTGTAAATGAAGAAGAGAGGGCACATTTGAGACAGTTTGTGCCTGATTACTTCAAATTTCCCAATGAAATTGAAGACAAGATGGTTCCGTTCATTAAGTATCCAAACTGGTTCAATAAGAAGTGAGGTTAAAAGAAAGGAGTTACATAATGCTGCAAGAGTGGCCAAGATTTAGTGCACAGTTGTTTTGATTTGATTTCTCTAGGGGCTTCCCAGGTGGTGCTAGTGCTAAAGAACTTGCCTGCCCGTACAGGAGACATAAGAGATTCAGGTTCGATCCCTGGGTCGGGAAGATCCACTGGAAGAGGGCATGGCAACCCACTTCCAGTGTTCTTCCCTGGAGAATCCCATGGGTAGAGGAGCATGGCAAGCTATAGTCCATGAGGTCACAAAGAGTCAGATACAACTGAAGCAACTTAGCTCACTCACACTGCATTTACTATGGCCCAAATATTTTTTCTTGAATGTCTAAATACCTTGATTTTGACAGCATCACACTCTCATTCCCCTTTCACCATCTATTTTTTTCTCTGTTTTCCACACAAGAAAACATTCCTCATTGTTCCTTAAACATTAGTATAACTAAGGGTTCTGGCCTTAGTAGTTACCGGCAGTTTCACCTTGTCTTCTGTTACTCAGCATGCTGAAGACCTATGCATGTCCTTGGATTAAGAACCATTTAGCCAGCCTCTGCACATATCTCCAACTTGAGATCCTTATGGAGTTAAACCCATCATACCTCAAACCCTACTCATCATCCTACCAACAAGACTTGTTCCTCCTCTCATTTTCCCTATTTCATTTGGAAGCCTCATAATCTAAATGAGAAATATGTATTATCCTTGATTTCTTCCTTATCCCTCACATTCAACCAATAATGAAGTCTTACTGATTTTACTTTCTGAATATTTCTTAATTCTGTCATCTCTTCACCCTACTGATACGGTCTTTTTCAGATCCTTATAGATCCTTTTCTAGGCTCCAGGTATTCCTTCAGACGTTTTCTGATATGCATGAGGAACCTGGTTAATGACGCAGTCAGACAAGTAATTCTGTAAGGAGGGTAAGTGCCATGATAGGGGGAATCTAAGGAATGGATCTTTAAAGTTCCCAAACTAAGTATGATTCACACTGTCTCAAAAGATGAGTAGGATTTAATCTTTACAGAAGAAAGAGAAGCACAGGGTAAAAATGATAGAGGACATTACAAACAGTAGGAGCAAGTGAAGAAAGGTTTATGTCCAAGAAGTTTTAAGTAGTGAGGTTTTCTAGGAGAATAAGTTTAAATTCTTACTCAGGAAAGTCAACTTAATAATAAACAAAATATGCAAATTATATGATATGTAAATATATAAATGATACTTTATATAGAATATACAAATTACATAATAAAGAATAATAAGTACTATAGAGAAATAGAAAGGGAAAAGGTGCTAAAACAGTCCTCTGGAGAAGGAAATGGCAACTCACTCCAGTATTCTTGCCTGGAAAATTCCATGGACAGAGGAGTCTGGTGGGCACTAGTCCACAGGGTCACAGAGTCAGACACAACTGAGCAACTGAGCATGCACACGCACATGCATGCACACACACACACAGAGCTGAAACAGTAATGTTCATCAAATATTCCTTGCGTTCTTCTTGCAATGAGACTGGGGCCATGTGTCTGGTTTTGACCAATGAACTAGGAACAAAGGTGACGTGTACCACTTTTAATCATCCTATGAATGCTCTCTTTCCTACAGATGTGATACTGGAGGCTGTACGCTGAGGCGTATCACCAGATGGGCAAACTTCCCTCACCTGGGTCTCTGAGGTTCTAATGGATCAGAGTCGCATGCTGACCCATAATGGATATGAGGCACAGATGAGAAAGACGCTTTTGTTGTTCATCTGTTTTCATGGTTAAATCATTAGTACAGAATAACCATACTTATCATAATTAAAACAGTAATAGCATAAGGAGTTATGGGAGTGTATGGGGGGCAGGTTAAAGTTTTAGAAGATAGCCACTGTAGGCTTTATATTGACAAACTAAGATTTGAGGCAAGACTGGATGGAAGTGAATTGATCAACCAGATATCTGAGGAAAGAACATACATGAGGGAGTGGAAGCAGGAAGAACCAAGTCTCTAATGAGGAAACATGACCAGCAGGGAGGCTTGTGTGGCCGGAACAGGTAGGAGAGGTGAGAGAGGTCCTGGCAACCAGAGCAAGCAGAGCCTGAGAGGCCTGTGTGGGAAATGTGACCTTGGGGAGCCACGCTGCAGGGTCCTGAGCAGAGCAGTGTCCTGAGACTGGACAGCAAGGGAGCAAGGGTGGAAAAAGGAAGACCAGTTAGGGGGCTGTTGCTATATTCTAGGGGAGAGACCATGGCAGTGGCTTCAGTCTCTGTAGCAGCTACTGAGGTCTTAATTTATTTTTTTTTTTCTTCACTAGCAAGGGAGGTTCAAAGAAGTAAAAATTATCACCACAACAACCATACAAGTCTCCTATGATTCTTTCTCTTTTTTTACTTAGACCCCATAAGGAAGTAAAAAATGTACAAAGTTATTGATGGGAATTCTCTGTACATAACAGATAAAAGAAAAATTCATTTATTGATTCTTACTGAATTTAACTTAATTCAGTTTCATTGTTCCTGCTCAGTAATGTTCCTTATCCCCTACCTTCAGTCCTAGCTTTTGAGAATCAATAAATGAAATTTTCTTTTATCTGTTATGTACAGAGAATTCCCATCAATAACTTTTTGTACATTGGAGAAGGCAATGGCACCTCACTCCAGTACTCTTGCCTGGAAAATCCCAGGGATGGAGGAGCCTGGTGGGCTGCAGTCCCTGGGGCCACTAAGAGTCGGACATGACTGAGCGACTTCCCTTTCACTTTTCACTTTCATGCATTGAAGAAGGAAATGGCAACCCACTCCAGTGTTCTTGCCTGGAGAATCCCAGGGACAGAGAAGCCTGGTGGACTTCTGTCTATGGGGTCGCACAGAGTCGGACATGACTGAAGTGACTTAGCAGCAGCAGCAGCAATCCACATTTGAAGGAAATCAGTCCTGAATATTCACTGGAAGTACTGATACTGAAGCTGAGACTCCAGTACTTTGGCCACCTGAAGCGTAGAACTGACTCACTTGAAAAGACCCTGATGCTGGGAATGATTGAAGGCGAGAGGAGAAGGGGACGACAAAGGATGAGATGGTTGGATGGTATCACCGACTGAATGGACATGAGTTTGAATAAGCTCTGGGAGTTGGTGATGGACAGGGAAGCCTGGCGTGCTGCAGCCCATGGGGTCGCAAAGAGTTGGACACGACTGAGCGACTGAACTGAACTGAATACACATTTATTCAGACTTACCATCTCCAAGGCATTTAAATGGGAGAGTGAGGAAAGCAATCAAGCTCGATGCAGAGGCATTTCTCCCATTCCAGTGTACCTTTAGGTACGTTTAGGGTAAGACAAAAACTTGGGAAAAGAACAAGTCATTTTTATTTTCATTGACTGATGTTTTTTTAGCCATTAGTCTCCATCTTCAGAATATTTCCCTAGATTTCTTTTATGGAAAGAAACATATTGGGACGACCTGATCCAGTTTTGATTACATGACTTTCACATTTACTCCCCAGAGAATAACAGAATTCAGTATAATTAGAGTATCAAAGCAAAGAAGTATCTTATCAAGTAATCTTTTAACCAGATAAAAAAATACCACAGGTCTTAATGACAATAAAAAATAAACTAGATAAACTAGATAAAAGTAATACTCCTAAAGTGGGATTGTGTTGGGGGAGGAAGATGATGCATAATAGCCAATTCATCTGGCAGATTTATTTAATATTTAAGAATATTCAAATTATAACTACCTTTTAATTTTATATTGAACTGTCTCTAAAATCAGGACTACTAATATTTTAGGACTACTGTCCTCAATTAGATATAACTGGAAAGAAAACAGATTCATGTGGAATTATACTTTCCTAAAAAATGACAGAATT